TAAGTGAAATAAATAGGACACACATATGTAAATGCTGAACAGTTTCTCTCATGTGAAACCTTAAAAGTGTAAAAAAGATCAAAATATATAATTGATATTGTGTAATAGGAAGAAAACATCCAAAGGTGTCAGGGAAAGGAAAGAAGGGAAAAGAAAAAATTATTAGAAAAGAAAATAATGAAACACAGTCTTTGTAAATAGGAGAGGGTGGGGGGGGTGAAGGGAGGGCAGGGGAATGGGGAAAAAATAAAAACCAAGGCAAACCATGTAAAGGTACAAGATCCCAGTGATGAAAGGAACTGTATTGTACACCTAAAATGCACCAATAATCTTTAAAAATAAAAGATTCCTCTTGTTCTTCCCTGAACCCTCCCCAAAAGAAAGCATCACTTAAAAGAAGAAATCAAACTGCTTCCCATTGGTGAGAGAACTATTCAGACACTAGCTCTCACACAGCTTTAATAAAGTGACTCAAACCTGGCACAGAGTCTGGCGCATCTCCATTGTTCTAACTCACTTGTCCAAAACAGCTGGAGTACCCAGCAAGATGCTCTCAATGGGTGGACTGGCCTTAATGTTGTTCCTCATGTCTGCAACAGCAAACTGCAGTGGAGGTTCACTCTCAGACCTCCCAGGGCCCCGTAGTCTCATTGCAGACATTGAGGGGAATACAGAGTCTCCTGAGACAACTTCCAAAATGTATGCATTATACCTGATGTACTCTGAAAGTAAGGGTCCTTCTGTTTCTGTTCGGGAAAAATAATCCTGGAGGAAGGTGTTCCCTGGGCCCCTCTGAGGTTAGCAGAATGACTGAGGTGGCTGTCTGCTCTGGTCTTATATAGTCTGGTCTGGTCTGGTGCAAGCCAGTCAATTTTGTAAATCCCCAGTGATGGGTTTGGAATATTTTTGGCCTTTAAATTATTGCTGTTTGAATGGATGAATGAATGGTAACACAATGTAAATATAGAATCTTCTATCCCTTCCCCATGACAAAGAGGGGGATTCCCCCTCAGAGTTATGGGGTCTGAAAGAGCTCATACTGGGGTTCATGGGCACATCTAAGAAAGGCCAAATTGGTGCTCACATAACCAGATAAAGACACCCTAAAGCCTGCATGGTCCTTAAAGTGGCTGAGAGGCCATGGCCAGTCAACTGACTGAGTGGTTCCTCCCACAGAGCTACACCCCCTTTCTTTGTTGAGTCATCATTCAAGGGTGTAGCACATAAGCACTAAGGCTTCTTTCTCTATGTCCAGATGCCTTCTTCTCTTTTATTTGTTCTTGCAGTTCCTTTTGTTGTCTATCTCCTGCCTGCCCTAAGTCTCTCTATCATGGGGACATCATCTTCACAACCTGTTACACCCATGGATTTCAGGCAGTCAGTTCTGCAGCAGTCATAAGCTAAGTAAGTCCTCCCCCATCCACCTCCATATAACTGTAGTTCACTCCCCTCTCCTGTCCTTTGAGACCCTGCTGCCAACAACTCCCTCATTTTTCACCACTACTTCACCTGTCACTTCTCCCTCTTTGGGAGAGCATCTCCCATCCTAGCATGAGGTCACCACCTTGGGAAGATGCAATCCAGAGATTCCTTTGCCTTTGAGGGAAGCCCTTTTTCCCAGTGGGGTAGGCCCTGGAAATGGCCCATCCTGGTATATGTTCCCTTGTCTACTTCTGAACTCTACAAATGGAAAACAAAGAGTCCATCATTCTCTGAGAAACCCAAAGTTCTGATTTCTCTGATAGAGTCCATTTCTAGGACTCATCTACAAAACTGGTATGACTGTCAGCAGTTGTTATTGACCCTGTTCACAGCTGAGGAATGGATAGGATGAGGACTGAGGCTACAAAGGTCTTATTGGTGGGTCATTCAAAGGAGGAGGCTGATGAATTGCTGAAACAGTGTTTCTCCTTGGAGCAGCCTGAATGGGATCTGAATTCTTCTGGGGGAAAACAGGCTGTCATCACATTTTACCAGAACTTGTTAAAGGAGATTCGAGCAGCACTTTGGAAACCCATAAATCTATCAAAAACCACTGATGTAACACAGGAACAAGAGGAGTCCCCTGCTGTGCTCCTGGAGAGCCTCAGAGAGGCCTTCCATGTTTATATCCTGTTCGACCCCTCCACTCCAGAAAAAATAGACCTATATGTTAGGTTTATGTTACTCAGTCTGCACCTGATATTAGGAGAAAATTACAAAAATTGGAAGGATTCCAAGGAATGAACACACCTCAGCTGTTAGAAGTAGCTCCCAAGGTGTTTGATGATAGGCATTCTGAAAAACAAAAATTGGCAAGGAAACAAGCAAATATCTTGGCAGTCAGCATCAAAGAGGACCCTGAGGGACACAAATTCAAGAGGTCCTAAGGGCAGGTGCCTAGAATGCCAGGAGGACACCCATCATTGAGCAGAAATCAGTTTTCTTATTACAAGGAGGAAGGGCACTGGAGAAATGAATGCCTCCACAGACCCTCTGTGAGTATCCCTCCCCACATCAGAGGGAAAAGAAGATTCAGACTTAGTGGGATGGGGCTCCTTGTCTCTTGGTCCTTGGAGACCCATGGTATGTGTTGAAGTAGGCAGCTAACTGGTCCATTTCCTGATGGACACTGGTGCTGAGAGGTCAGTTTTAGAAAATCTTCTGGAAGAGCTTTCATCAAAAACCACCCCTGTTTGGCAGGGAGCCATCCAAAACTGCCATACTGGACTGGGCATTCCCCTTGCTGGGATGAGACCTCCACAATACCCCATCTCTCAGAAGTCCAGACAGGGTATATATAGCCCCTCACATTTAGAGGCTGGTGGACTTTGGCATATGAAGTCCCTGTCTGATTCCATGGAACACCCTATTCCTAATAGTACAAAAAATGGGGAAATCAGATTATAAACAAGTTCAGGACTAGAGGGAAATTTACCATGGAGTAGTAACTTTTCATCCTATTGCCTCCAACCCCTATATACTCTTGAGTTTGGTGTCTCCTGAGCAACAAGTTTATATTGTGCTAGATTTAAAGGATTTTTTTTGGTGTGCCCCTTGACCCAGCTACCCTGCCTATTGTTGCCTTGCTGTGGACTGACCCTGTTTCCAGGGAACATGCCAGCTCACATTGACCTGGCTCCCTCAGGGATTCAAAAATACACCCACCCTGTTCAGTGAGGTCTTATTGGTGGGGCATTCAGAGGAGGAGGCCCACGAAGTGCTGAAAAAAATGTTTCTCCTTGGAGCAGCCTGAATGGGATCCAAATTCTCCTGGGGGAAAACATACTGTCATAAAATATTACCAGAACTTATTAAGGGGGATTCAAGCAGCAGTTTGGAATCCCAGAAAGCTGTCAAAAACCACTGATGTTACAGAGGGTCCAGAGGAGTCCCCTGCTGCATACATGGAGAGCCTCATTTTTTTTTGTACTACTTTTACATAATTAAGTGATAAAATAGCCCATTTTCCAGGGCTTGTTTGAGTATCTTTTATGTATCCTATTATGTATTTGATACTTTATATAATTTTAAAATATCTTCATAAACCTTTTTTTTTTTTTGCAGTGCTTGGGATCAAACTCAGGCTCTTGCACAGGGCAGGTAACCATTTGACACCTGAGGTACATCACCAGACCATTCGTTTCTTTCCAATAATGAAATTCACCTTAATATCATAGCCTTCATGTTTCCAAAGTAAGAGCCTTCCTCTTCCTTCCCATAGTTGCTAAGTCCATGGAAACTAGGGATTTCTTTTACTTTGAGTGTTTCCCCAGGACTGAGTTATATGATGGCCGCCTAGAAAATGACTTAAATTTAATTCCATTGTATGAATTTTAATTGGTGCATCAGAAAGTGATCCCATTCTGTAGGAAATTTTTTGACACAGATGTCTTTTAATGCTTGCCTTACATTTTTTTTTTATTCTTTTATTGGCACATTTTAGGTATACAACAAATTACATTTCTCATTGGGAACTTGTACCTTTATATGATGCATCTTGGTTCTTATTTTTTCCCCATTCTTAGCTCTCCCTTCATCTCCTCCACCCTTCCCTATTTACAAGGACTTTATTTCTATTTTTTCCATTTCTCATAATTTTTCCTTTCCCTTCTTTCCTTTCCCCTGCCCCCTCACTACCCCTAACCCTTTGGACCTTTTATTCCTATTTTACATTATCGATTATTCATTCTAATCATTGGTACATTTTAGGTATACAATATAATGACATTCATCATTGGAAATTTGCACCTTTACATAGTCTCTCTTGGTTCTTATTTTTCACCGTTGCCCAGCCCTCCCTTCAACCCCTCCATTCCTCCCTATTTACAAAGATTTTGTTACTGTTTTTCCATTTTCTCATATTAATTCCATTCCCTTCTTTCCTTTCCCCTACCCCTCCCACCTCCTTCCCCTTTGCCCCTTTAAATCCTATTTCACATTACCTATCATACATTTTAGTCCCCATTTACACTTTCAGTTTCTCACACCAGAGAAACTATTTGGTATTTATACATGTGTGTTCCACTTATTTCACTTAAGAGTATCACCTCAGTGTGCATCCATTTAGTTATAAATGTCTCCAATTTCTCATTTTTCATGGCTGAGTAGTACTCCATTTTAGTAAAAAACCACATTTTCTTTATCCAGTCTCCAGTTGACGGGCATTTGGGCTGTTTCAAGTGTGGGACTGCATAACTCTATAATCATAAAACTCCCCTAGCCCTAGCTGTTATTGCATGTGAGTTAATAGATAAAGATGCTTGTTAGTTCTGGGACACTAGATAAGATCTGTATCAGCCATAAAGTCCCAAAGTAAATTACTCAACTCTGTTTGTTCAAAACTGATGTTCCAGACACCACTATCTATATAACAATCTACAAACATCTGCTGACCATCAGTATGTGTCAGCTGACGACTAACCTTTGTTCCTCTTCTGTAAATTTCACCTGTTAACTTCCCCTGCAAAACCCTATAAAAAGAGCCTCAGACTCTGGGCTAGTTGCTTCTCTAAGCTACTTTGCTTTGGAAGTGCCATCTGGCCAGACTAAAGGTCTGTTTTACTTTCCAACTTGTCCAGTGTGTTCCTTCCCAGGTGTTCTTCACTGCAGTCAGCTCCTCGGAGCATTTGGTAAGGCCCTCAGTCTTACATTTTGGAGGCCCCAGTGAGATCCCCAGGCTGGAACCCCAGTTCAGCTGAGACTCTGTGGCGGGATCCAGCAGGAGACTCTCAGGCACAGACCTCAGATAACCTCTGGAGGTAAGTTTTTGGCCAGTTGCAACCGTTTGTTAAGTCAGGAGTGAGGTGGCTGATGGGCCAGTAAGTCTCCCCTGACCCCAAGGTTCCTGACGAGGAACAAGCGAAGATTTAGTTTCATTTCTGTTGTGGCACCTGTTCGTTTTGTCTTTCGTACATTAGTGTCCTGTCCGTTGTGTGTTTAATTTTGTATTTCTTTCCAAACCACCAGGGCAGACATGGGAGGATCCTGCTCCAAGAATACCCTGTTGGACTGTTTTCTCACTAATTTTAAATTGGCTTTTTCCCCCAATCTGGAGGACAAATATGGGGTTAAATTCTCTCACGGAAAGCTTCGTTCCCTGTGTCAATTGGAATGGACAGCTTTCGGAGTTGGATGGCCAGCGGAGGGCTCTTTTGACCCAAGCCTTTGTCAGGCTGTATGGAAAAAGGTCACCGGTCACCCTAGTCATCCTGATCAGTTCCCATATATAAATATCTGGGTTCAGGCTTGTCAAGAGCCTCCGGCTTGGTTGCAGCATTGTTCCTTGCAAACAAACACTTGCATTCTGGTTATGGCTCCAAGGAAACTTAGCAATTATATTCCTATGTGTAGATATTTTTTTGATCAAGGCTATTTGGAGTCCTATATGGCTCACTTATCTGTATGTCAAGTTATTTTCTGCTGCTTGGGAAGTTTTCTGCCATCACTTCTGTGAACAATTTTCTTTATGTCATCTGAACTCTCTCCTGTTTCTTCATTGACTTCAATCAGTCTTATGTTATTCTTCTTTGCATCATCTAGCCACTGCTGGATTGATTTCTTGTGGTCCCTTACAATTTTAAACAAATTTTTCTTTTCCTGTTCACTTGCAATCTTATCTTTTATATCTGAAATTCTGTTCTCACATTGGCCCATTCTGCTGCAGAGACTTTCAATGGAGTTTTTAATCTCCTGGTAATCTGTTTGCATCTGTTTTATGGATTCCTTTTGTTTCCTTTGTTGGGATTCCATCATGTTCCTGAGCTCCTCTCTAGATTTATTAATCATGTCTTGCACTATGAGTGCAATCTCTGCTTTTATCTGAGAAATTATTTCTGATTTCCTTTTTTTCCAGATCCTCTTTTGTTGCCAGTTCAGGGAGTCCAGGTGGTTGAGTATTGTCATGTTCTATCTCATTTCCCTTTGGGGTTGCTATAGGTGATTTGGAAGTCTGGTTTTGAGACTTGTTTACTTGTCTTCTCATTTTGTTGTGTGTGGGGGATGCTGCTGGTGCCCATGTATCTCACTTCCTCTGTGCTGGTGGGGGGTGATAAGGCAGCCTGGAAGCCTCCTCTTGTACCCTCAGAGCAGCTCCTCTGATGACTTTCTATACCACATTACCTGTAAGTTCCTTAGTATAATCCCTCCTGTGCCCCTCCTTTTCCATGTGATTTCCTGCTCCAGAAGTCAGTGTACTATGCAGTGGCTTATTCTAGATGCTGTATTTTTCCATTGAATCTTTTATTTGCCTTCTCATTTTTTGAATGCCTCTATTTTTTGTTATTATCCAACTAATTTTAAAATTATTTTCTTAACGGTATTACTATAGTTATTTTGAAATTTTTGCATGCAAGCCAGATATATGGTGGTGCATGACTGTAATCCAACTACTCCAGAAGCTGAAAGTGGACTAACTTAAGTTCAAAGCCAGGCTGGGCAACTTAGCAAAACCTTGTTTCAAAAACAAGTGAAAAATTAAAGAAAAATACTCCAGAAAAATTGCAATTTGTGGATTGATATGTGCAGTTGCCTTTAGTGTTGTTTCATTCATTTATTGTATACAGTCACTTTCTCTTATTTAGTAAATTATGTCTATCATATCCCACCTAGTATCTAAAAAGATATTGTAGATCATTTGTCTTGCCAGGGAGCTTTCAATCCACCCTAGGGTGAAATTAAGACTGATAAACTTAATCCAAACAGAAATATATTAGGGCTTAGTATTTCTTTAGGTTTTCGAAAGATGCAGTATTCCTTCAGTTCCCTCCATTTCCAGGATATGGCCATCAAGGCTTTCACTTATGAAACTGGGTTCACTTTTTCTCTTCAGAAAGAGATCAAGGTAACGACATCCACTCATGTTTTCAGAGGTTCTGGCTCATGTGTTTAATCTTCCACCACAAGTAATGCTAGAATGTGCTGAATATTACAGCAGCCAGTTCACATGTTTGGAGATCCTTCCATCTCCAGCTTTGGACATTTAACCATTTGCCACTGACAAATCATGCGCATTTTATTTTGACCACACTGAAGACTACTTAAAAGGACCCTGACCTATATTCTTACCTGTTTCATGTGCCTAGGTCAGCAAGCACTCTCAGAAAGTATAGCTAAGGATGACCAGTGTTGAGCAACATTTACCTCCAGGGTTTTATGTTTTACTTTTATTGTAAGAATGCAAAACCATAGCAGATCTTTTTAATCCTTACTACTAAGACACCTTGGAAATCCCACTTTGCTTTTGCATTATGTTGTGTTGTTTGTGTCTATTGCATGCCAAAATTGAAATTTTAAAAATAACATTTGTTTGAGGTTCCTCATATCTCTGCTCTTGACTTTCCCATACTATTTAATTCTCCAAACTCTGAACAACTTCATATTCTGGCTCTCTCCCTGCACAAGTCATATTCCACCTTGCATCCATACTGGTAGATGAATACTTACAGATACATCTGAAAGCCTTCAGCTCACCTCTGCATGGGTTCCCTTTTCTTCATGTGCACTAATGCTAGTAGCTGTTGTGGAGTTCATCTATGTGAAGCAGTGTAGACTCCATTAATATAATCAGAATAAGGACTTTAAGATAAAGCTTGAATGGTTCTCCTAACTCTTAAGAGAGAAGAACACCATAAAAATGACGTCGAGGGAGAGAGAACCACACTGGAAATAAAGAGGAGATATGAACTCAGATTTGACCTCCCAGTAATGGAGACTGCTTTTAATAACACTTACATATAGAATTCCACAGAAATTCTTGCCCTGAGAATTAATTACAGTGAGGTGGGCTGATCACTTTTCAGTCTTGGTTCAGAAGTAGATGGTTTTGTTGGAAATCACATTTAACAAGATTCCCATTAATATAATTCAGATGTAGGCATGAGTAAGAAAAACACCCTTATGTTGTCCAAAATTAAAGTCTATTATGTAATTGCCAGTATTAATAATTACAACTAGCTGTTAAATATATTTGTTTTAATGAAATTATCATATGCAATGGATATCAGATGTTTAAGTTGGTGTGGAAAATCTATTTACTGAATGTAATGAGCTTGGAGGGATCTTGCTGTGCTGTGGAATTACATGTGATATATATAAATCATATATATATAAATCATATATATATATATAATATATACATATATCCTTCTCTCCTGCAAGGAAGTATCTGTTGGTCCCATGTTTTACCAATGACTCTGATTGTCTCACTTCATCAGCAAATCAAAGATATTTTATCAACTTACAGTACTGGTAATGAACTGTAATAAAGTACTATAAAGTGTAGAAGTTGTATTTTTAAATATTTAAGCTTAGATAGTAAATGCTAATTAATAAAACTGGGAGTAATCAATATTACTGGGAGTAAATAGTTTTCAAGTTAACTAACATTATTTGTGTGTAATTACCAATGTGTTTTTAGGGAAAAAATCACAAATACAGGTATTCCCTAGACATCTCTAGGAAAAGAACATGTTTGTATTCTTTGAATGATTAGGTCCCCAATTACATGAGAATGCACATAAAAGCCCTTGGTTCTTCTCGTGAGATTGTACATCTAGAGTTTGATGGAAAACAGCTCCTTCCTTTGTAAGTTGGTTCTGTTTATTGCTCTGGCTTGCATGATAGTCCTTTTGGGGTTGGGGGCAGTGCAGTGGCAGAGTTCCTGTCTCACCTTCCCAAGGAGGCTGAGGATCTATGAGAGCTGTGGATGCATCCAGAGTGGTTGGAGAGCATCTTTTATCACACAGTGACACTGCCAAGAAGTGACTATCTGGTCACTCAATCTCGCCTAGCTTTTGTAGGAATCTAACACATTTTCCTTTAAATGTACCTTCTGTTCTAGATAACAAAACACTTGTGGGTGTTTACTCATAATTTGGATCAGTTTATTTTATAACCTACCTTGGTTTTTTAATATGTTTGGGAAAAGTTTAGTGAAGCACAGTATTTTGATTAGAACTTTCGATCAATTCCTTTTTAAAACAAGAATCCATATTCAGTTTTTCCTAACTCTACCCTTGGCCTCTTCATTAACTTTTTTCACACCTCTAAGTAGAATTCATAGAGTATCAGAAGGGATCATCATATTATAATTCCTGACACCCTGATGTCATTCTCATTTGAATAACACTTGTGAACTACTAGGGAAATGGCCTTTGGATATCTTTGAATGCATTGATGTTTTTATCCAATATAATAAACAGTTTATAGTTTGGAATTTCCAAGATTTAAAGTCAGCATCTTGTACTCCAGCCCGTCTCCGTCATATTCTCTCTTTCTCTCTCTCTCTTTCTCTCTCCCTCCTTGAGACAGGGTATTTCAGGCTGACCTTGAACTCACTATGTAGCTGAGGCTGTCCTTGAGCTCATGGTGATCCTTCTGCTGCAGCCTGGGGAGAACTGTGATTACAGACATGCGCCACTGTGCTGGGCTATATTATAAATCTCAAATATCATTTTCTTGGTTTTACTAAACATAAAATTTGATAACAATAGTAATTCCATCATAATTTGGTTAGGTATTTTGTAACAGTTAAGTTATAGGTAAAGTATTTAGCATATCATATTGTCTGTGACATGCATTGTATAAGTAATACAGGTTTTTAATATAAATCTCAACAGAGGTCTCTAGTCATAAGAAGGAAGAACTTGTGCTTGCCTATTGTATGTCATTGTCTTCCTGGAATGATACCAGGAAAGACAAAGAGATATACACATAGGTGGATAAATAGGTAGATAATTTTCCTAATTTAAAACATTCAGAAACACTGCAAGGCATTTGTCCTCATTATTAGAGTATAGGTTAAAACTATTTACATTAAATTACACAAAGTCACACAGCCCATATATGGCCAAGATAGACTGTAACCTTATCTGTACTCACTCTAAAGCAGCATCTTTTCATTGCTAACTATCTTCTTTATTTTTTTTTTAGTTTATTTATTGGTACATTTTAGGTATGCAGCATAGTTACATTCATCATTAGGATCTTGTGCCTTTACATGATGTATGTTGGTTCTTATATTTTCCCCATTACCCTGCCCTCCCTTCATCCCCTCCACCCTTCCTTATTTGCAAATAATTTGTTTCCATTTCTTTACTTTTCTCATTTTTAAAATTTTCCCTTCTTTCCTTTCCCCTAACTCTCCCATTTCCCTTATTCATTTAGAGATTTTCTTCCTATTTCACATACCTTCTTTATTTTGAAAACTGTCAAAATAAGAATAAGAACTATCCTGGAGTACATTACTCCATTCCTATGGAAGGCAATAATGTAACTTCCCTGAGTAAGTGTTTCACTTCTGATTATCATCCTCTGATCTTCAATGTGCCCACGACATAGGGTGATTTTAGTGATTAAATGAGACAAGAAAAATCTGTAGCACCGTGACTATCATGGTATTTATTGTAGGAAGTCATGATCCAGAAATATTTTTCAATTCTTTCTGGCCAATTGAGGCAACATAACATATTTACTGCATGTTTTTCATGTTAACTTCTTTGATATATTTGCAAGTCCATTTTTTCTAGGTCAAATTTAAATTCCTGCTATTTCAAAATCAAGTTAATTCAAGTTCTTCAAGGACACTTCAAATTCTATTCTTGGAAACATTCTGAGATTCCAGAAACTGATTCATGTATTTCTCAGTCTCAACAATTTTTATAATGCTACTATAAAAATAGAGGAAATCTAGTTTATGTTGCTCATACATTTCATTCCTGAGGATGTTATAAAATTTAATTCCAAGTGATTTTATAACTATATTGCACATAGTTTACTTGGCCAGCAAACTAATGTTTGATGAATATTTACTAGAATTGAGTGATAAAGATGTGGAAACAAGTCACCAATTTGTCAGTTTGTCTTAATATGTGGACAGGATTTAAAGCATTAGCCTAAACACTTCTACCTAAAGTATTCACAGACCTTATATTTACTGACTTTTTTTTATTACAGTAATAATGCTTCTGTTTTATATTTTAAAGTTTTAAACAATTATCTAGCATATTCTCAATTGAACCACCACAATCACTGTCAAGAGATATATCAAACTATTATATATTAAAACTTGGACAGAGGAAGCAAGTTTTTCTAAAATTCTCATTTCAAAACACACTCTGTAAATCTATTTTAAACATTATATACATTATTCTTTATACCATCATCTAGCTGTTCCTTCATTGATTACATACTTCACACTTTCTCAGCTGGTTATTGTTTCATGCTCAGTGTTTGAAACAAAGCAGAATGGAACACTGAGTCCAAACACACAGAACAAACTGCCCAGTGGCAAAGTAGTCATTGATCAGACTCTATCATGGAGCTGTAAGAGTCATAAAAATCTTATAGCCACTATCTCTGACATATATCTCTGAAAGGTTATACTTGAAAGCAGTTGAAAATGGTGTCCATATTTGTTGTGTTTTCATATACTTTCAAAAAGCAAGAAAATGGCTGCATATCTAATTGTCTCCTCTTTTCATCTGCATAACACGTTGGGAAGTCAGGTTCTCTAAAAAAGAGAAGCCACTCAGAGGCTGGAACTAGCACTGGGAAACTGCATGCTGGTCACTGAGTTTATTCCCCTCTGTTTCCTGATGCAGCCTGAACTGTAGATTGTCTTATTCCTTGTATTTCTGTGCTGTATGGTATGATTTTAGTGGGCAACACTGAACTGTTTTTAATCAGGACAGATCTCCACCTTCAAATCCCCATGTAGTTTTTCTTCAGCAACCTGTCCTTCATAGACTTGTGCTACTCCTTGGTCATTGTCCTCACAATGCTGGTCAATTTCTTGTCAGAGGACAAATAAATCTCCTACTATGGGTGTGGACTGTTTTAATTTTCTGCACTTTTTCAGACACCAAATCTTTCATCCTGGCTGCCATGGCCTATGATCCCTATGTGGCCATCTGTAAACCTCTGCTGTACACAGTCATCATGTCCTGGGGCATCTACATACTGCTGATTGTTTTTTCATACATTGGAGGCAACATCAGTTCCATGGTCCAAATGTCCTTTTCTTTTATTCTGAAATACTGTGACAGAAATGTAATTAATCATTTTTTCTGTTATCTCCCTCCCCTGCTTAAACTCAACTGCACTGACGTATCAATTAATGAGTGGCTTCTCTCCACCTATGGCAGCTCTGTGGAAATTATCTGTTTCTTTGTCCTCATTGTCTCCTACTTTTTCATTCTTCTCTCAGTCTGAAAGATCCTGTCTGCTGGTGGGAGGAAGAAAACCTTCTCCACATGTGCCTCTCACCTGACCTCTGTGGTCATCTATCAGGGGACACGTCTCTTCATTTACTCAAGGTCAAGTTTGCTGTATTCTCCCAACACTGACAAAGTTGTCTTAGTATTTTACACCATTATCATTCCAGTGCTGAACGCACTGATTTATAGTTTGAAAAACAAAGATGTAAAAGATGCAGCTAAGAAGGCTCTAAGATGGAAGATAGATTCTTCATGAGAAATACTAATGTTTCATGATTCATCTAATTCCCCAAAGTCTAATGGTGAGGTTGCAATGACTTTACTGGTGGACACGGAATTACACATACTAGAGTGTATGAAACATTTGTTTTTCTTTTTAGCACAGTAAAATTCATTTCATAGTCTCAAGTAAGTATTGAAAAGCTCAAAATAGCAGCTAGCTAGTAGCTGTTACTCAACATTTCTTTGATTACTAGCTGGAGATATATGTTAAAATGGATATATGATGTAAAAGGATATAGTACATACCTTTGAAACATATGTATGAAAATGTGTATAAAATATCCAAATCACAAGATATTATGGTTTATAGATAGATGCCCACAAAAGCTTTGTGCTCTCATAGTGGAGTTTTTGGAAGGTGATTGTGCCTTGGGGATGTGATACTCATCAGTGGGTTAGTCCACTCAGGAGTTCACAGATAAATGTGCTTTAGGATCTGAAGTCTGGTCAAAGAGATGAATCACTAGATGCATATCCTGGGAGAGTGAATTTCCCCCCCTCCTCTCTTGATCCCCTTCTACTTCCTGCTGCCCTGCTATGAGTTGTTTCCCCTCTGCCATGACATACTGCCTTAGAGCCAGCCAACTATGGACTGAAAATTCTACAAACTGTGAGCCAAAATAAACCTCTCCTCCTTTAAGCTGTGGGAGTCAGATATTCTGCCTCAGTGATGAGAATGTAATTGAGATACAAGGTTGGATTTAGGGACAAATGAAGAATCTCAGTTGCCTTTCTTCCTATTCAATGGGTTTATCTGGAAATTAAATGATATACTGAAAAGTTATTTAACTTTTCTGTACCTTAGTTAAATTGTCTGTAGAAAGAGGGAGAATATTGTACCTTTATCATCAATTGTTGAATGGCTAATAAGATTAATGCAGCTAGGTGCTGAGAATAGTTTCTAAAGAGTTTAAACTTTTAGATGCATATTATTATATATATATAGAATATGACACATTAATTAATGGGCCTATTATACACAAAGAAGGTGAAAGGAAAGATATTACAGGAGTAATTTTAAAACCAAATACTATTTAAAAATTGTTTAGTAAATGTTCAATAGTCTTTCACACCTAATCTATCCCTATCTGTGATTTTGAAACATTTTCTTTATAGATTGAGCAATATAGGTTAGCTGTAGTGAAAAACAATTGTCATTTTCCACTCTACCTCTTATTTTTTTAATATACTAAACTATTGCCAAAAGGGTGGAAATTCCCTCTGTGGTATCTCAGATACAATCTATACTCTTAAAGTCTCACTGTTTTCTCCCTGTGTACTTCAGGAAGGATCCACCCAGTGCCACAATGGAACTCTCTACAGAGAATGTGCATTAGAAGAATGAAATTGGACTTGTGTATCTCAGCAAAATGTATTTCAGAAAGCAAGATTCTTTGCTACATATACTTATTTTTGCATGATAGTAAATACTTAAGACTTTTATATAGAAATATCAGTGAAAATGTATATTTAAAACCATAGCCTCTTTGAAGATGCAGGCAAAATGATTTGTTTGCACCAGTTTTAAGTTCTCCTAAGAATTCTTTCTTGAGGTTTCTGACCATCAGTGCTTCTCTCCTGCAAGTTTTGTTCTTCCTTTGGTAGTAAGGGGTCATTTTCACTCAAAGCTACAGGAGCCAAGAAAACATCCTAAAAATAAAAACAGATTTAATGAACTAAGTTTAAAGAGAATTCAAGATAGGTGAGATGCAATGCATATACACATATTTCTTCCTGTCTTTAAATTGCATACCATGCACAAGCATTTAGTGTAGATAATATCAACTGTGCTCATTAACTGTCACATGTGAACTTGATTAAGAACAATTTAGCAGATTAAAACTTCTGGGTGTGCTGTAGATTATTGACATGTTAGCCAGCAAACTGAGGAAAAAGACCCAGCCCAGATGTGAAAGGCACCAACCAATAGGCTTCTGACATGAATGAAAGCAAGAAGAAAAAAAGAAAGTGTTCCTGTCATGGAAGATCATGAATCATCACCACTGCCATTGGACATTGTTATCCAGTTTCTTCAGCTTCCTGATTCAGACTCACACTAGTGACTGCAGTGAATGTCCAGGCCTTGACCTTTGACTACCCCTGGGTCCTCTTTCACCTCCCATCCTTTGAACTGCCCTAATAACTCCCCTGCCATAATCACACATATATTGTCTATTAATTCTGCAATCTGTCTACAATGAGTAGCATGAATCTGCATATGAAAATCTTACTCTTGCTTTATTACTGACATGTGACTCAATGATTGCATCATGAGAAAATTTGGTTATTTTGAAATTAAAAAGTGGTTAAAATTAGCATGTCCCCATACTTTTTCAAGGTCCACAAATGATTCCATTGTACAAATTGAAGCAGCACTCAGAGAGATGAAACCTCAATGCAGTTCTCCCTTCTCTCTAGGAACCTTGAGGGCTCCTCTCATCTGCAAAGCATTCATGAGCCCTCTTGCCCCATTTTAGAGGGAGGATCCTATGTTTCATCACCTGACACCACAGAGGCTTGCTATGTTCCCCTGTTAGAAGGCTAGAGAAACTGCATTTATTTTAGATTTGGCACAGTCAGCATTTGCCAGAGGCACCGATTCCCTGTACTTCCACAATGGCCTCTCCCTGTGGTCCTGGGGCTGCTACCAGCATTGCAGCTGGTACTGATTCTTGTCTGATGAATATATGGAAGCTGCTATTGGTGAAGTATCCACATTATTAGTCATTTCTTAAGTTTTATTTTTCATAGTTTACTACTAACATTTTACCATTAGGATCAAAGTGATATAAGGCCCCCAAAGGCTCCCCTCCATTCCAGAAAATCTTCCTATTTCCATCATTGTAGAGCAGCAAGTTCATGACTCAGTAACAATCACCACAAAAAATAGATCATAGTAGTTTGTCTCTTGATTCATTAGCTTGAGCATTTCAAAGGACACATAGTCATCATAATCTAATTTAATAAATTATTATTGAGTTCTTTGATTTAAAGAATGACTTCCTTTTAAACATAAAATCTTCCTCTTAAAAGTAAACAGTGGATCCTAAACTTGCAAGAATAGGAAATCAAAATTCCATTACATCCAACAATAGATGTAATGTTATGAGCAGCTGCCTCTTTTTCCACCCTTGATGACAAAATTCACTCTTGGTGAGTTAAAAGAAATTATATCAGCAAGTTGGCATGGCAGATACAAGCCTCTATTTCTCCAGGAAATACAACAAATAGAAAACTACCTAGAAATTATAGTATTCTGAATAGGATTCCTGTGTCCATTTATAAACCTGCAGGGACACAGTAAAACTAAGCATGAATACATAAGTAAAAGTAGAGGAAAACCTCACAGACAAATGCACTGAGCTCAGGACACTTGCAATATCTGCAGATTGGCAGACATAAAGGAGGAGGATGGGAGCTGTCTTTATCCACCACAGAGTGGGCACCATGTTCCTCCCCAGCAAGGCGGCTCTGCAGATAGCACTGGCATCTCTGCCCTCTGAGGTATCAACAGTGAGCCTTGCTGTGGACCCCTGCAATGGGAGACCCTGCTGCTTCTCTGACAGTAAGGAGCTGCTGTTGTGCCATCCCAGGGATAGAGATGCCACCCCCTTCTTAAAACACACAAGTGCCCTGACTGCTGAGCTCCAGCTTTTTCACAAATGTCCTCCTTTCAGACCCCAGTTCCACAGTCAAATTGTGTGCACCCTTGCCAGAAACATGAGAACCACACAATAGCAAGACAGTGCACATGCTGGGCTCTGGCTTTGCAGCTGCGTTGCATTCACCACAGCCCACAATCCCCTGTGTGAGTATGTTTGTGTGTATGAGTGTGTGCATGTGTGTGTGTGCAAAAGCATGCTTTGGACAACTGTTGCCATAGTCTGAAAGTGACCTTGAAATATTCAGGTTGAAACATCATTCCTTTTTTGATGTTATTAAGAAGTTGAGCATTTTGGAAAATTATTAGTTATAAGGGCTTTGCCTTCACACACTCATGGTGTCCTTATGAAGGAGGTCTGAAATATCCCTGGCTCTTCTGCTTTGTGAGAACACAGTTTTTGCCTTTTCTAGTGCCATTGCAGGACACGAAAAAGATGCCATCTCTGAAAAATAAGCCTTCATCAGTGACTGCTGGTCACCTGCTTTTGCACTTCCCAATCTCCTGGATTGTGTCAATAAATTCATGTTGTTTATCAGTAGCCTAGTCTAAAGCGTTTTATTAAAGCTGCAGTAAGCAGCACTTAGCAGCACTAACACTGCACAGGATGGCAATGATGGAAACTATCTCCACCCTGATCCTCAGGTCTGCAGCCCTTGCATGTGTGTTCCTGCTTGGTCACTGCATGTGCATTGCCTGTCAGCCCCAGGGTCACTTTCCCCTTATTTGCCTGCAGAAGCCCCCTTGGCAGTGATTTCACCACTAGGGGAAAAGGGAATGGAAAACCATGGAGCCCTTGCCAGTGACCACACCTACAGCCCTCACTGCTACCCAGAGTTGATCCTGGGAATCCCTGCAGTATCTGCCAATGCTGACTCAAATGGATAGTGCTTCATGGAAACCATCACAGCTCCCTCAGTGCAGGGAGAGTAAATCTCCCCACTCAGGGCATTCACACTGTTCCACAGGGGAAAGGCTTTCCTCAGGGAAGTCAGGTATAAACACACAAAAGAGTTTTGGTTTTCTTCTTAAAATAGATCCATTTCATTAAGATTACAAAGGATAAAACTTCACCTTTTGTTTAAAGTGATGACGTTCACAATTGAGAATACATAAATACAAACATAATCACACCAATCACAGGGGAAATAGCATCAGAAACTGAAGTCCCTACTGGTACCTACCAAAATAAAATGATCTCTCCTTAGTGTTTAGCTACCAAGACCTGCTCACCACAGGTAGGTTCATGTAGGGAACAGGGGAAGGGGATGTTACCAGAACCTCTGCAGTAAGTCCTAGTCTCCTGTGAGCCACGGCAGCACACGGTGAATTACAGGAAAGGTAGACAAATGAGACTGAGAAGAAGCTGAGCTTTGGGTCTGATCAGTGCTGCTCTGGGCAGCAAAGACAAACGCTCCCTAGCTTGCAGCACCTTTTATTCAGTACATGGGGAAACAGATGTAACAAGTGAAATATAGAGTTCATTACTTCACATTGGGATAAACAAGGTGTAACAAAAGGCTGGGGGGCAGTGGAAATCTAAGAACAACGAAGAACTATGCAGATGAAGATTTGGTTCCTCCCTGGCATCTCCCACAGGTGTGGTCTTGTCCTGGAGATTGCAGCATCCCTGGGGATCACTGAGGTCTCAGTTGTGATCAGAGGCCAAAATGCAATTATGTCTGGAATGTCCTAGCTGGGCTGTAGGCAGGAGAACTAGGCCTACTCAAATGATTTTTGCCTAGAATTATGTAGCATTGCTCCCAACAGGTTCATAATCATCAGATAGAGGAAAAAGAAAATATTTTAGTTTTTCAGAAAAAAGAGAGATTTGTGAACAAAATATTTTATGTATGCCCAATTTAACACATTGTTTTGGAAATTCTAGTGCCTGAAAATATTTTACCCTCAGAATTTAAAAAATCTAACTGAACTTCAAAGTATCCACAGCATAATATTTTGATTCTTTTATTCTAGTCTGGATACGTAGGAGAGATCCAATTCCTTTTATCATTGTACAAGCATGTGTATGAATTTAAGAGATTTTAAAATCTGTTTTACCCCAAATATATTTTACTTATACCACTGTAATGAGGTATGCAGATTCAACTCTATGTGAAATATATTCTGTATTTGCTTAGTCTTAACCCCACAAATATCAATCACTGTATTCCACCTCTCATATGTCCGCAAAGGGATGTAAACACATTAAGTATTGGACACTTACAGGAAATCACATGCATGTGCAAGAAAGCCTGTACATGACAGAACATTTACTGTCCCTTGTGCTACTTCTATGTTGCAACACACAAGTCTATTTTACATAAAAGGAAATGCAAAGTAAGATGTTAAATTCTGTTGACTGCCTCTTTTCAGTATATTTTTTCAGCGGGCTCATGCCTTGGAATCAGACCACTGCTACAAATAGGTAAAGTGTATTGTGATGAAACCACTAACAACTCTTAAACAAATGCTTGATACAATGCATTTCATGTGACTTCTAATACTAAAGAAACAAACAGTAAGAAATGTAATATGGCAAATTTCATTACTAGTTACTTAAGTGATTTTTTATTTATAGAAGTAATATAAAGTATTTTGAATCAGTCACCATGCTTATGAATGCAATGTGTATGTTCAGGAGTGGAATTTGAGCTCATAACATTTCTATATATCTTACTATCTTGTATGTATGTAGAGTTGTGTTTGGTTTATTTGTTTTCTACACTGAGAATTGAACCAGCACCTTTGCACTGAGCTACATCCCCATTCTCCCCACCCACTCTTTTTGAGACAGAGTCTTGGTTAGTCATTAATTTGACCAGGAAAGTACTCATCTTGAAGTCCTCCTGCCTCAGCCTCCCAAATGGCCAGATTTACTAGTGTGTGCTAACAGGGCAGAAGTTTTCATACAGTTTTACTCAATGGAACCATTTCTCATTTCTAGAAAGAACTGTGCTTGTTTCATAACTTCAAAATACTACTGTAACACATGTTTTTATTATGACTTTTCTTTAGGTCAGTCATAATATAGCATTGAAGCTCAGTTTTCTAATTACATGGTAGTAATAAAAGTGGATATGGAAGAGGTTCTGATTAAATTCTAATTGTGAAGACATCCATTACTATGGTGACAGTTGAAAATATTTGACCTTGTGAAATTCTTACTCTCTAGCCAGCCCTATTGTCACCATTTTTCCTGATCAAAACAGGCTAGAGATGCAGGACACTCCTTTCATGTGCAGAAGTAGTTTCTCTTTGCTTTAAACTGAGAAGGGGCTCAAAGCACAGTGAAATCAAAGTTCTGAGAATATGGAGACAGAAATGTCACGTGGAAGTTGTCTTAAAACAATCAGGGTCATTCCCTCTGTCACAGAGAGAACCCCTGTTCCACATAAGATTCACTTTATACATCCAGAAACTCAGAGTGACACTGAGTGCTTCCTTCCTTCATGATGTGTTTGGAGCAAGAAGGCTGAAGGGAAGACAGTTACTGCAGTTGACATAAATGCAGAATCCCCTGCTCACTGAGGCATTTAACATCATTACCACTTTAATCAGCATACTTATATGACCTCTCACCATTACATATCTATTACCTGTGCTACACATGCAGTCACATACACTGCATTTGATTACATACAATCATATGTAATCTACATAGTGTTTCTCTTCTGTAATTTTAGTGACACAGATAAAGATAGGAGCCAAGATAGAGGATCTTGAAGATGTTATTATATTACACGTATTTGTTAATATTACACTATTTAATCATTAATATTTATTGTCAGTCATTGATGGGTGTTTGAGAAGGAACTTGTTTAAAGATACAAAGAGAAGATAAGGATTGATATTTAAGTAAGTAATCTAGCACAGGTGGAATCCATTAGATTCTAACTATTATAACAATGAGAACTGACACAAAAGTTTTGTAGCCATAGCCACCTAGCTCACATCTGGACACATAGCTGCTGTAGTGTTGCACACACACACACAAACACACACACACACACACACACACTGGCCCCTGGCCCCTCATTGTCCAGTGAACCCTCCTGTGTTGTACACCTTTACCCATGAAGTAGATGGAGAAATTATTCCCGGGAGTTTTTGCCCCAAATCCCAGCTGCTCTCCCTGCACAAGTGCCCATGATTCCATCCTCAGCCCCATGTCTACTGCATGGGAGCCACAGACAACATATGAATGTCATTGTCATCATGCATATGCATATGAGCTGGACGCAGTACCACTAAAGAGCCCCCTGACAATGACTGTGCAAGTGAGAGGAAAGAAAATTGTGAGAACTCCAGGAAATTTGGCACCTGAATGCT